CTTCCTTCCTTCCTTCCTTCCTTCCTTCCTTCCTTCTTTTTTTTCTAAAAAAAGATGATATCGTACCTGTTCCTGTTTTAATCTTGCAAACCTGTACAGTAAAGTTTTTTTGTTTCGTTTTTTGGGCTTTTCCTCATGTTTGTCTTTTCACGTAGAGCAGATATTTGAAAGGGCAAACAGTGACTAAATATGTTAACACACCATAACGTTTTAAATCTTTCGGAGAACTGCTAGCAACAGTTCCTGCTCGCCCTTCTGAGTTTTTGTTTTCATTTCGTTTTTGGGTTGTTTCCTCCCCGCCCCCCCCCCCAGTTTGTATGGTTTCTCCTTTCAAATATGTGATTGTATTAGCTCTTTCCATATGAAAGAATTATCCTTATTTAAATTAAAAAAATAAAAATAAAAGCGAGGGTGTTTGGTGTTCTTTTTGGCACAGTTTTGCAGGGACAGGAGTTAAAAATTGGGAGAGATGCAGGTGAAATATCCCATTTTGCCGTGAAAGATGACAGGTTGAACGTTAACCTTTATCGCAGCCTTATAGGCAGAAAACACACCAAATATGTATATCCAATGTGTATAGAAACACAGAGATGAGAAATCTATCAATAATAACTGTAAAATAGGATAAAACAACATTGAAAAGAGATGAAAGAATCACCAAGATTAAGGTCATGGGTGAATTGGGGGAATATCTCTTAGGCCCATTCACCTGGCAGGGTTGTTAGGGGAAAAAATGGGATTTTATTTTGTGTATTCTGCCTTGAACTCCTGGAGCGAAGCTAATAAATAAATAGACCCAACCTGCATTTCCAAAATTCACTGTATAGAAATTCAGTGGAGGGATGAAGATGGTGGGAGATTGGATAAACACCCGTTTGACGCGATGGTTTTATTTTAGATGTTCACTTCCAGGGTTGCAGAAGTACCCAGCTTTTTGGGTTGGCGTTTAAATTGTATGTATAAAGTTGATGGGAAGAGGCCAAGATTTGAACAGGGCTTAATAAGTATAGACGATACCTGGCCCCAGCATCTCAAACATCTCAATCTGGAGGATACTGGAATGACTGCAGAAGGGGAAGATTTGAAAAAAAATGCTGTTTTGGGTGGGGGGATTCCTAAAGGAAGGGTCTCTTCACCTGGTCCAGTCAGGGCTGAGTGTGGTCAGGGAAGATGGGTTGAAGCAGCTGAAAGGGGAACATCTTTGTGGTAGATGATTTGTTGTTCCTGCTCAATCCCACCACTTCAGAGTGGTTTTAAGCAGCCCTTAAACATCCTCAAATAAATAATTCAGTCCTTCGAGGCGCTGATCAATTCCAGGGAGGTTTCCAAAATCACATTTAATCGGCGTCATCAAGGCAGTCCAAAAGGAGATTCTGAGTTTCTCTGGTGGTGGTTGGCTAAGTCTCTATTTTCCCAGAAAAGAAAATAATGCCCGATGCGTAGTTGAGTGGAAAGGAGCTATGCTTCATTTCCCCAGTTAGCTCAGCTGCCCTGGCTTTAGCACCGCAGTTCCAGGGGGTTGTGCAAAGCAAATAGCGTATGCAAGAATGCCCGTGTGTGCTTTGTGAAACGTTTACGTGTATGCCTTGCAAAATGTGAAAAAAAAGAAAAAGGAAATCTAAAAATCCCCCTCTGAAATCAACAATTTGCATTAACCAATGAGTGGTTTGGGTTCTATATTCTGTTCCCTAGATGGTCAGATCAATCCCTAAATTGCTGCAACAATGCAATTAGCAATCTGGTATTTGTCACAAAGCAAGATTTCACTAGGGTTCATACTGTCATGCACAAGAGAAACAAAACGGGAATTTTATATTGTAATATTATTAAGGGCCACTTCGTCAGGTGGACATTCGATCAGCAAGCAGTAACTACAGATTTGGGTAATAAAAATAGGTTTGCAGCACACGCCAGATGTTGAGTAATCTGGGGCTAGGGCAAGAAACCCATTAGCAGAGTGGCAAAGGACCGTGGGGGATGTAGTGTAAACATATGGCAACATCTGCCTGATTTATCAGTGTATAAAACTAAAAGGGCCATTTGTGGCTTTGATGGCTTCAATAGATGTGCCTAAATCAGAAGGGTTGGCATTGCCTGTAGCTAGGAATTCTGGGAGCTGTAGTTTCAACCCCTGGAAAGAACCAGGTTGGAAATAGCTAGACTATCTCAGAAAAAAAAAACACATGGCCTCCTCTATGATTTCCTGTTCCTATGGCAACTGTCCGGGCTCGTGAGGTCACATCCGGTCTCGCGTTGCTCTCCCCGCCACGGCAGAGAGGGAGTCGAGCGGGGTCACGTGCTCGCCGCCGCCTCCCTTCCCCTTTTTATAATTGGTACGTCCCATCGCCGCCGCCTGCATAGCGGCACGAAGGCGAGCGCATTCCAGAAAAGGGGGGGAGGACGAAGGTTGAACCAAGCAGGCGAGCGAGGAGCGGAGGGGATTTGGTGAGGCTCTCGAAATAATTGGGAGGAAGGTTTAAGGCGACCCCGGGTATTATTTCTAAGATTTAGACTTTTTTCTTGCGTGCATACCAGCCCTTGGGAGGGAAGGAGGAGCAGAAAAGAACAGGGGTGGGTGCAAAATGTGGAAGGGGGGAGGCAAGGAGAAGGAAAAGGGAACTGAATATTGCAGGGGGCTTAGGAAGGATGTGAACGAAGAAGCCGGTTATTTATTCAGGGCGAGGGAGGGTGGGGCTTGCTCTCTGTTTTTGATGCTACCTAGTTGGGTCATGCAACCTCTGCAAGGCTCAGAGCTCCTAAACAGGGAGCAAACCCCACCCTCAGTAGCCCTGATGACGCTACCTAGCTGGGTCATGCAACGTCTGCAAGGAAACAGCCAAGCTCGGGGAGCCCCAAGGACTCCACAGTTACTTCACTTTGGAGGGTTAGGGTTGTGTTTTCTGGCTGCCACCAGCGGCCTCCGAGACGTGGTGGGGGACACAACTTTTCCAACAGTTGGAGAGCGTGCCAGAATTTGAAAGCATTTTTTTCCCACGAAGGGGACCAATTTCCCCCCGTTTAGATTCCACTGGAACATTCAGAAAAATGCTTGGATTCCTAAAGCAGCCCATTGTCTTCTCGGTGGAGATCAATGTAAACCTGGCGGTTTTGGCTGTGATCGGATTAATAAGCCGGCTGTGGGCGCTGTCCTATCCGAGAGCTGTGGTGTGAGTAAATAATTCAAATATATACGTATATTGTGAGTTTAGTAGATTGAAAGTGTCCATACTGACAATGTCTCTTCCAGTTATGAAAGAGAAACTTTTCTCTCTGCAATTTTTAGACGCTTTGCAGGAGACCACACCACTACATTTCGGCATCTTTTTTTCCCAAACATGCAACGTATTATTCAGTCCATCTTTTGGGGTTTGAAGAATATGCTAAGCCTGGAAAACTAATTAAGATGAGCACTAACCAAGATTACATCTTGCACCAATGAGACCTGATGAACGAACTAAACGATCAAGACTGGCATACTGAGGTTACGATTTGACTTCATGATGCATTTTGTTTAGGATATATAATTACATTTGGATATTTGTTTAATATGTTTAAAATGTTACCGGTAGCCAACCTGAATGCTTTGGGGGCTGAAAAGTTTCTAAAAGTTTCCTAGTAAATAAAATTCAACTTGAAGATTTTTAGCAGTGCCCCAGATCTTCTGCACGGAGTGATCTGCTAATTGGCTATTGTGGTTTTTATTATTTTATTATTATCATTTGTGGTTTTATTATTTTAAATAAATAATATTTATTATTTTTCTTCTTGTGTTTTGCAATTCAGCCTATAGAATAAGACTTTAGAGCTGTCTGATCCTTCTGCCGAACAGAAACCTAGTGAGTTTCTCTGGCATGCTGACAATCCAATTCCTCGAGCGCTTAATGAGAAATATGTCTTTTTTTTATTTTATTTTATTGCATTCCAGTTTTGATGAAGTTTACTATGGCCAGTTCCTCTCCTTGTACATGAAGCGGATCTTTTTTGTAGATGACAGCGGCCCACCATTTGGCCACATGCTTTTTGCTTTTGGAGGTATGCAAACTTCTGTAAGCATTCATCCTGCCTTGCAAGAACAGATTGAGGCCTCTCCACCCCGACCGTATTGTCATGGATTTAAATATTGACAAATTGCTGAAACTATGCAAAGAGGGGGAACAAACAGAAAGGGATTGTTGGGAAAGGCAAAATACAAACTTCACTTACACATGTAGGAGAAAATAGAAAAAGGGTGCCACCAGAATGCAAAACGCTGGTGCTTAATTAAATGCATTTTTGTACCTGAGCACAGCCTTTTCTTTCTCACGATGTAGTACGGCAGATTGCTCAAAAGAAAAAACTTGATCTGACTTTGTTTGGGAGTTCTTCAAGTTCATTTTCTTATCTGCAATCCAGGAGGAGAGATGCAGTCAAGACTTTTGCCCCGAGGAAAGACATTCCTGTCACAATTAACTGCTTTATATAGTTTAGCTCTGTTCTTTCCTTCCGAGGATCGGCCTCTCCCCTTTTTTATTAGTCATAATGTCAGAATTTCACACCTTGTGGACCTGGCTTGGATCCCAGGCCTGGGATTAACGTATTTGTGTCCTTATTTTGTTTTGTTGGATTGACATTAGATCGATTTAGTCTGGGGTATCTCTGCAATTTAGGTTTTACCTGTTTTTATGGATTTTTTGGGGGGTGTAGTAAGTGTATTAAAGCAGGATTTTTCAAACTGCCTTCCATGGGAATGTAGGTCCTGCAAAGACTTGATAAGGTTTTATGGAAAAATATCCTACTCCCAATTCCTTGAATGCAGCAATTTTCTATTCCTTGCCTCTTAATCAGCAGTTGCTGGATTTTTTATTTTTAAATCAACAGGGTCTGTGGCCTGAAACATTTTGAAAACCCCTATACAGTGGTACCTCGGGTTACGAACGCCTCTGTTAACGAACGTTTCGGGTTACGACCAGCTCCGGCCGCAAAACTCGGTTTGCGAACTCCGCCTCGGGGTACAAACAGGATACGTGGCCATTTTCCCTCCCATGACACGGTCCGCGGCCATTTTCCGCCCCTGACACTTGGTCCGCGGCCTTTTTCCGCCTCTGAC